TGCCAGTCTTATTATAAAAGTCCATCTGCTCAGCGACGAAGAATTTACAGAGCAAAACAACAACAAAATAAAAAACATTTTGTACAAAAACAGCTACCCGCACGCGTTAATAGAAAGATTATTACAAACAACAATAAACCAAATTCGCCAACTGAGCTAAAACACCGAAGTACAGCCAAACAACACTAACAAAAAATACATTGGGGTGACATACATACCAGGACTTACAAATAACCAAGTACTCCGAAAAACAATAAAAAATTAGAATGTGATATATGCACACAAGCCCCATACACACTCCACGGTGCAGCGAACAAGGGTGGCGCCGTCAGTGGTACCGCTACTTTGGTTTTGCCGATTTTGACAGTTGTGGTAACTTGTAAATAAACCTTTGTTTACAAATCAGCGAAAGAGAAATTTGAATTATAAGTGAAAAATCAGTTTAGATTGTGTTAATTTGCAATTTGTGAGCGATTTTTGAGTTGAAGACTTCGTAAAAACTAATACAATGAAGTGCTGTGTGTTAAAGTGCGACAACCGCCAAGATGCAAGAAGCGTAGATGCAAGTGTAGCGCTGGGACGAATCGCTGCATTTTGTGTACATAGGGCACGGCAAAGCCGCTCCCGAAATGTTTCTCTATTATTATATTAACAGCATTTCCTCACAATGATTTTGTTTCTGCTCCACGCAGCCTCCATTAGCAAGTTAACTAATCAATCCCGCAGAGATGTTGCTGTTGTTTGCTGCAGCAGCCTTAAATGCAAAGCAATAAAGTGCACTAAAACGTTTGCTGAAGCAGGCTCAATTGCAAAGCAATGGGGTGCACTAAAATGTTCACTGTTCTCTAATAGATTAGGAGAAAAATGCAATATTTTCGCATTTAGCAAAATTAAAACACATTTTTCGCAGTAAAGTGAACTGTTTTGGCAGTTTCAACTCGTTATTCTTTTCGCTCTATTCTTTGTTTACTAGTGGTACACAAATGTTAACGCCCAGTACGGCGCAATCTTGTATTCTATCATTCTTGAACACACTCAACAAATTGTTGACGAAAACCAAAGACAAGATTGAAAAGGAGCTACAACACAATGTAGTGTACCAAATAAAGTGCAAGGGCAATGATAACGAAAGCTGCAATAAATGCTACGTAGGCACAACAAAAACAGCGTTGGGTATAAGAATCAATGAACACAGAGCGGACGCGAGAAACAAAAAAAAGGACAACAGCACTGGCTCAACACTTAACAATACACGAACATATAGCGGACTTCGGCAACACAGAGATTTTTGGACATCGAAAGAGGAGAAAGAAGGAGAATGACACTGGAGAGCCTACGAATACAACAACAATTGGACAACGTAATCAACTTTAAGGAAGACGTCGACAACACGAAGAACACATATGCAGCCGTACTAAAATTCAAATATAAATAAGAATACTTCAATAATTCTTCCTAAATGTTGTATTACCTTCAATGTCTGCAAATTAATGTAAAATTCTTGTCAATATTTAATGTGAGTTTCAAGTGATATTATGTGTGTATATAATTAGTGTTAAGTATACATGTACATATGTAACTATTCTTGTGTATATATGTATGTATGTATGCAACTATTATTATGTTTTTGTTAATCATGGTTTTCGTTCGTTCTTCATGTTTATTGTTTATCGTTTAAATAAAACAGACTCCCTGAAGATGACACGAGAGTGTCGAAACGCGTAGGAGGGACAAGGGAAAAATATAAGCATTTCGTCTTCTACTCCATCGGCCGAAGCAGCTCCAACCCAGCAAACAAAATTCATAGGAATTTGGCCCATACAAAGATAATACATTTTTGTCCTTTGATTACACGTCATGTTAAAGTTTTCTTATTCGGATTATGCGTTTGGACACAACTACCGAAAATTATTGTAAAAATAACTAAACCGGACCCAAGTTTCTCGATAAGGAGCAACAAAGGTTCGTTTTTGCTCGTTTACAAAAAACAGTGCATAAAAATATACATATATACGAAGGGCAAATTTATTTGTTTAAACACACATCGATTTACGTTATCTCGCCTCCGACACAGAACTGTTTTCGTACAAAATTACGCAGAAACGCTTTTTGGGCATGCCATTGTTACGAATTTCCAAAGTTCGAAAATACGATTCGGATTGCAGCATACTATTTCTACGATTTGTAGCAAAATCCGAATAGGAAAGAGTTGCAGAATAGTTGTGTTAATTTTTATAATTAAATTGCAAATTTCACATTCAGCGGGAGTTGTCAGAAATGGCGGTTTAGTAGGTGCGTTTGATTAAAGTCTCCAGTAAAAACCAACCAACAGCAAAATTCCGGCGAAATGTCACCAGTTCTCTCACAAGAGAAAAATATCCAAAACAGTACGCGAACAGAAAATTTGCAGAAACTTGCAAGTTAGATGAACAGCTGATATAATTTTTGTTTACATTCAAAAGTATAAAATTTAAAACGTACGAAAACTGATCACAAAGTGGTATCTTGACACAGTTTATTGATTAAACAAATAACTACTTTCTTCTTACAAGTTTAATTAGTCGCATTTTGTAATTTTTAACTTCCAAACCATCAAATTCAATTTTGTGATTTGCGTTAATACAAACCAGCTGTTTTTCTGTTGGAAAATTGCTGTTGGCAAAAATTTTTCCAGCAAAAACCAGCTGCTTCCCCTCAAAATGAAATGTCACTTTGCCCTCTCAATTTTGCCTCCTTTGGAAGTTTTTTGCGTACGCGAACGCAAAAACCTGGAAGTTTTGGTTAAACATGAACAATTAACAGCTACGCGAAGGCAACTAATATTGGCAAATGTTCGATATGCTACAACAAAATCGATAGCAATAACAAGTGTTACCACATTAAAACTAAAGCTCTAACTCCATAACCTACTTTTCAGGTGTTTCGACGCATTGCATTTTGCACATGATAGCGCAAAAAAATTTATTTGAAAAAAATCACCAATGTCGATTTCCCAAATTTTTAAGCGTAAATGTCCAAATTGGCGCTAAATTACCAAATCTGGACATTCTGGTTGTATGCAAAAGTTTAATAGGTACGCACTTGTAACATTCATAATCGTCGGTAAATGAAAGTAAGTATCACAAGATCTGAAAAGATGAAGCAATAGTGAAAAGTAATTTTCTGGCTGACGTTTGTAATTTCGGCGCCGTGTTATTTCATTCGAAATGAACCAAAAGTAAACAAAGAATATGAAGACGAAGCATAAAGAAAAAAATGCAAGCAATTTTTAGCGCATGTTTGTGCTAACCAATTTATTATTTTTGTACCTGTTTTTGCAACCAATTACCGTGCACTTCATTTTAATTACATTTGCACAAAAAATGTATTGAAACTCGCTTAAAAATCACCGAAATAAACCACCGACAAAATACACATAAAGAAAGAAATGTACACCATTATTCTAGAACCCGAATTTTCGTAATTCGTAGCTACGTTACGAAAAACGAAAAATCGTCATGCTGCAACCCTTGCGGAAAAATGTGCAGCATTGGCAGGTATCAGTTGTTTTTCGAACTCAGCTGTATGAAGGAAAACAAAGTGGAAAGGAATTAAAAAACTCATCATGCGCTTGTTTATAACAAAAATTGCTCGATTTTAAATACTTTTGAGGAAAATTATGGATTCTGATGCATTTGCAGTTATAGCAGCGGAGAAAGAGCTCGCTAAGGCAATGGACTCACAAAGGTATTCGGAGCTGCCGGTCATAGTAACCATGGGCGCATCTACATATGTCAGCTTCTGGTTGAATTGTTGAACTACAAGCCAGAATTCCTCCTATGCCTGCAGAACTGGTTCTTTGTTGCCGGAGAAGAGGGGCTTCCGCATGTCATAGGTATACAATAGTGGTATTCATCTAAACCGATAACTTTATCAAACAGATATTCTTATAGATTTAAGTACTCTGCGACAATGGTCGTGTTTTCTTTGGTAATCGAGGATTAAGAAATTTCAGAAATGACCTCACTAAATAGGAAAAAGTTATATTTATACGAGATAATATTCATTTAAATAAATATTTAACATAAAGGCGATTTATTTGAAGCAAGTTAAAAGAAACAATGGCAGAATATCTGTTTGTGTATGAATTCATTTGTTACTGCTACCAAACTGTGCGGCCAAATTATCAGTAAAACAAAACAAACAACGGATAGTAAATTGAACCAGATCTCTATCAGGATCATATCGTTGTTATTGAATTTGCGTGCAAATTCTTTATGAGGATCCCGATTATTGCCCAAGAAAACGCAGCTCCAGTTCTGACAGAGTTGCGTTGGCTTCAGTTTATCAAGGTTTTTCAGTAAAATCGCTGGAGAAATTTATCAGATATGTGTAAACGAGTTTCCATAAAAATTTTGACAGTTAATTTATAAGGTAAGTTCCCTGCCAGCCAAAAGTGGTGACAAATCTGGTGAAACCGCGGGTTTCGGTCACTTCAAAACTGGTGACAAAACTGGTGACATTTGTATGGGCGGTGTGCAGATTGTCACCACTTTCCCCCTGTACGTGTGAGCCTTGCATCACAGTCGCACTCATTCAGATACTTCGTAAGGAAAACATATAGCTGCACTCGTCTAGCATTGCCCACTTCAGCTGGCGCAGGGTTGCATTTTCTTCACAGCGAATTCAAAATAACCTTAAAAACTTTAAATAAAAAATCTTAAAATTTTTTTTGATTTTTATTTTGCAAAATTTATTTTTCAAAATACATTGTTAACCTAATATAAATAGTTAGTAATCAATATTAAGAATAAAAATTACAATTAACATTAATAATAAAGATATTTTTACATACATATGTGGTTGCTTAATTGCTTATTATTACTACTACTCGTTTGCATATAGACGTTTTCAAAAGTTGCAAAATTTCTATAAAAAAGTTAAGCGATTTTAACAATGTTATAATCAAAAGAAAGGTAA